ACGTATACATCACACTGAAACAGCATTCATGGATTCACCCATCTTGGGTCATGACGGGAATGCTTTTGGGGATTTAGTGTCCAGGAAACAGCAGGGCACGTCTTAGCTAGAAGAAGCTAACCATTAGCATTAGCAACTCCACCACACAGCAGAACTCCCCAGGCTTGTGTTATTTGTGGAGTCAAAACATCAACATTTCAAAGCAAACAGACAGTAGTAGAGTCGTGTTGTTGTTAGCCAATCAGAGGAGAGATGTCAAAATAACAGGAAATAAGACTCAAAATTCTGTCGTCTGAAGCTCAACTCTGATGTGGCTCACTTCTACTTCCTGACAAAAGGTGCATTGGAGCTTTGTTTCCCTGATTGGATTGGGGGTGGTGAAACCACCAATTAGTTCCTGAGTGCAGCTGCAGCTGCAGCTCACCGCTCCCCACGGGGATGGGTCAAATGCAGATATGTAATTCCACCATTGTGTGATGATGACTAATGCGGTAAAGACATCATGGATGCTCTGTGGATTGTGCTGTCTACTGGAGCTACCATAGTGGCTAGCTCCCATCTTAGATGGGTCTCCATTTACCCCCAGTGCATCCATTTTTACTGAGGAACCCAGCTAAAACACATTTTGTCCAGATTTTTCACAAAATCAGACACATGGTATATCATGATATTAAAAATATACACATAATTAAGCAAAATACATAAAAATAAATTAAAATATAAAATCCCATCAGGTAGGCTAGAAAATCACTAGTAATCCCACGTGATCTGTTTTCAATAGTATGCCAGTTGCTGTAACAGTAGGCTGCACAAAAACGGGTTATAGCTGTCTTCTCTGCATTGACCTTGGAGGGTGAGGAGACCCATCCAATATGGCGACGACACTTTTACATTCTCTAGCACCCATTGAGGTGTTTAAATATTCATGTCTTTGGGGCTTTAACTGTATCTACATGGGAATTGTTCTTCTGATGGAGGAGTCCCAGAATATCAGGATACTGTACACAAGTGAGGGTCGAATAGAATGAAATATTCATAAGCTAATTGGGGATGTGTCTGCAGTGATGCAGACACTGTACCGATCTGTCACCACAAAGAAAGAGCTGGTTCAAATGGCAAAGCTGTCAATTCACCAATCAGTCTTCATCCAAGCTAATGACTGGAAGAAATATCACAAATACAAACAGCTGAAATTATGCTCCTCCACTGAGTGGCTGAACCTGACATCAAGGTGTGAAGTTTTTAAGAATAAGCGTGGAGTAGATGCGCTGCTTTTTGTGCTTGTTATTAGGGTTTAGAAATCTGGTGAAATTGCTTCTGGGAACACTTGGATAGAGGTTTTTAAGACATGTCCTAGTGAGAAGGCCTCTGGGTTGACCCTTGATGCATTCAAACTTGTTTTGTTTGCTGTAACTCAAGCTCTGGCTAATTTTTCACCTAAGTGTCTTTTTTGTGTGCAAATGTGAGCACAGTAATCACACTAAAGTCTGGACCAAAACAACCACTGCAAGACCCTTTGGAAGAGGCCATCTCAGTGCAGTTCCAAAGCAGCAGCCTTTGGAGTCTGAGCAAGTTCTAACTTTTATCTGATGAAACTACAAGTGTAGTTTAAGCAACATGCCTTCTCACTGTCGTGTATGCTTTGCATGTTGTGTATTTTCAAAATCAGCTCCTTTGTCTTGATCTACTTTCTGAAGGATTTTCAAAAAGCACAAAGAAGTAAATTCAATTTGAAGATGTCTTATCAAAATCCACTCATCTTTCTGCTCATACAGTTTTGCCTGGAATATCACCCAGAAAACTGACAGGATTAAAGTCTCCATGTTGTGGACTCAAAGTGGCTCAGTACTGTCTTTCAATATTTACTTCTGGTAGTTAAGCTCCATGCATCTCATCAACAGGCAATCCTACCATTTTCACGTTAGTAGTGACAGGCACACCTCTCTGTGTGTGAAAGGAAAACAAACCACAGGAAAAAGCTACAAGCTAAATGACTGACCGAGTGATTTGGACCACAGGAAACTAACTATCGGTGTGAAAACACCTTTTATCTCACTAGAGATGTCTCAAAGTTCCTTTAGATGAGATGGAATTGGTACTTAGACAGAGCGTCCTCTGGGGGTTTCTACTTAAGCTGTTGTACCCTTGCCCTCTCCTGGAGCAGAAGATGGATGGGTGGAAAAAATGCATGTTTGTGACTTTGAGATGAATGAAGAGACAACCCAGAAAAGAAGCAGAAATACATTCTGTGTTAGAGATGGGGCTGGGACAACGTGCCGCTGTAATCGATTAAATATGTTGATGCAAATAATGTGCGTTGATGTGTCATCAGGTTCAAAACAAACATATCGGCAGCGAGTAGCAGCAACATGAGTGAGGCAGGTGACTAAAATCACTCAACCCAAACTCACAGTTCAAAAGTATGGGACTATTTCAACAGAAAATGAAGCGATTCAGTAGCTTGCCGGCCTTGTAAAATGGAAATGGCCTATCACAAAAGCACAACTGCTATGCACCAGCACGTCAAACGACGGCATCTAGGAGCAGCGTCTGCAAACAAAAACCACCGTAAGTTTTCCATTTTTTTAACACTTTTTTTTTACCATCCAAACACCCCCATATAGACATGCACTCACTTCCACACACGAACAGACCGGAGCAGACCCACACACTCACACACACAGAGATAGACACTCAACCTCAACTCATTTAACCCTCCCACTGTCTTCATGCGTGACCCCCACGAGGAAAGTTGACCATTGAGCAGGGTTGATGGTTTATCCCTTGAGGTCCATGTGGCAGGGATGAGGTGGTGCTCACTCCTCACCCCTGCCACATGGACCTCAAGGGATAAACCATCGATCCTGCTCAGTGATCAACTTTCCTCGCAGGGTCACACCCATTAGGACAGTGGGAGGGTTAAGCTGCTTAGCAGTAACAAATAGCAACAGCTGTTATCTGTTTTGTTAATTTTTACATGTGTCCCATGCTGGCAAAATGATTCGGAATGCGCACATGCTGATCACGAGAGCTGGCGAGAGCTGACAATGTGAGACAGCGCAAACTGTCCGCAGTAAAAATGTTAAAGATAATGTATCACCTGGTAAACGCGGCCGTCGTGGACACGTCCATCATTGTTGAAGTGCTTGCAAAAGCAAAATGACCACCAACTCTTGATTGTCAAGTGTAATGTTTGAACTTATTTTTTATACTTCATGCTCCTCCAGATTGTTGATCTAATAGATCTAAGTTGCACCATCCACTACTACTACTACTACAACTTTATATTCGAATGTTTTTTGATTAAAATGTGTTCAAATGAAGAAATGTGTGTTTATTTCATTGAGATACATACATTTGTAATAGTCAAATTGCCATACAAGTCAAATAATGGGGAAATAATTGATAATTGAATCAAATCAAAATCTAATCAAAATGACAAATTAATCATTAAAGTTATCGATGCATCTAAAAAATTCACTAAATTAATCGATTACAAAAATAATCGTTTTGCCTAGCCCTAGTTAGAGAGTCTGAATGGTTTTGGTTTCAGTACTAATACTATACTAGATGATAATCTAAGCTGGAAAACAATTCCTGAACTTTCATAACGGATGAAACAAACTACTTCTTATGATCTTTTTACACCAAATGAATCATCCATTTTACTCCAAACTTCAACTTTCCTACACGGTGTGGTAAAAATCATTATAGTTATTCAGCTTACTCTAGTCTGGATCCAGAAAAAGGTTGTGGTCTCCAACCAACATGCTGCGTAACTATAAAACCCACAATTACTCAGCAATATCTGCTCAGATTTGAGCATGTCATCAAGATGACCGCCAGACCATCAGCCTTGTATTACACATCATGGATAAATTACAGCATTAGCTTTGGTCAGCAGGTTGGTAAAAGTAGCAGTGAAAAGCTCAGGGCTTCATTGAGGACATGAACCAGGTGGAGGGTGCTGACAGTAGTAACTGGCAGCGGAGTTGAAGCAGAAAAAGATGAAAAGTGACAGCCAAAACTCACTCAAAACTGCTCTCACTACAATTATAGCTCCTCACATTGCTCTGCAGCCATCAAACGCCTCACTGTTAAGCACAGGATGCTCTGAAATTCACTGGCCTGCCAAAATCAAGCAGGCTTATGTGTAACTTTGTCTGGGAGAAAGCGACAGAGCCGAGAAGAAGAAGATCTGTACGACGTTCTGGAAAAAGTTTGCAGATGCCAACAAACATGTCAAGAGACAATAATTCTCCAAATGATTTCCATATCATTTCAGTGTAAACTGTGTACAAGTGGCACCGTTTTCTAGCAAATGTCAGTGTGTTCTGGGACTTGGTCCAAGAGCAGACTGTTTTATGTAAACATAACTTGAAATTCTTGCAGCATCTGGTGTCGTTGAACAACGTGGCTGTTCGTATTTGACCTGCATGGAAGCTGTTCTGGAAAAAAGGGATTTGCTGACTGAAGAAAAAAAAAAAACGATTGAATGGGACTCTTTTTAACAAGCATAGTTCTTTAGCTAAACATGCGCCATCCTGCTTATGGAGGAGTAAAACAGGCAGAAATGTGGAAGAAAATGGCACAAGCTTAACTTTGAATTTGAGATGAAGGAGAAATTTGAACATAACAGTAAAAACTTTTAAAGGTATTACCAAAAATCCTTTGGCGAGACCAAAAAATGTGTATATATATAATTAATTAACCTATAAAAAATAAAAGATCAAATATGTCCTTGGCCATGCATTAAATAATTATTACCTTTAAGTAGAGAATCATATTTTTCTATTTTTATTAGCGCAGAAAATATTAACAATACTGTAATTCAAATATGTAAATCTGTGTTTTGTAAAACGGCTTGCTCCTGAGAAAACCACAGTCATGTACAAAGTCTTTCCATTTGCACTAATTCAGTGATCACCACACAATCAGCTGGCGCTCCAATACAATTACAAATGTGGAACAACAGATGATGATCATTAAAACAGCCTTACCTCTTCAGCATAAGCGTCACAAAGTTTGTTCCCAGAGAGCAGCTTGTTTTTCAAGCTCTTGTTCTAAAAACAAGCAAACAAAGAAATAATGTCATTCACATTTAGTCTGCAACCTGCATGTTCTTAAGGTTTTGTTTTAGCTCCCACAAAAAGCACTTCGGCTGCTTTGGTTTCTCCAGCAGAGTGTTTAGCTGCAGAAGACTCTTGGCAGTAAACTGGTTTTAATTTCAGATAAGCCTGATGAGCAGTGAAATGGGTATTGTTTCAGAATCCACTCAAAAACGTATAAATTGACAGAAATGCAGTTTCCAACTATGATGTTATGATTTGCCGCTTTTTGTGTGGTTTTCTGTTTTTGGTTTTGTGTTTGTTTACCTCTGTTCCCTGTTATTTTGTTCAGGTCAGCTGCAGCTCCTGTCAGGAGCCCTCCCCTTCCCTGTGAACCTCCTGGAGAGTTGCAGCTGAACCAAACCACCAAGACTGCCCTGACCCTATTTCAGGCCACTGCTGCCGTCCTCAGCGTGGCGTTGGTTTGGACTATTTGTCTCGTTTATGGAACAAGTGTACCTTTGAGCTATATTGTTTCAGTCAGTGGAGGAATCTTTGTTATTAAAACACTTTTGAACTCAGGGACACGACTGTTATTCCTGCAATTGGGTTACTGTCTGAACAGCCCCCCCCCCGCCCACCCCCCCCCCCACCCCACGGATCAGTCAAGTCGTTATTTCTGGATTTTAAAGAATTAAAAATAAATGACAGGTGGACAGATTTTCTCACATCTCCCTAAAAAGCTAAATTTATAATAAAGTTATTGAATTAATTGCTTTTCTTATTTTTATGATCTAATTTCTAAATGTGAATCACAGCTAAAATGAGGACTTTTTTCTATGGTCACCCTACAAAATGACATTCTGAGCCAGAGACGTTCTGCAAGACACCACTTCTTTTCCTCTAAAGATATACTGAGTAAATTTATTCCAAGTTGTTTAAAGAGAAACCAACAAATGACACAGCTGTGAGAGAGCATGCTGAGACAGAAGGAATTAAAGCCTGAAAGTGATACGAGCAAGATGAGAGGGAGGTGTGTTTTCTCTTGCATAATTAGCAACGATCTGTTGGTATGAGCGCTCCTTAAGTAACTTGATGTTTAACTCAAAGTACACATCCAGATCTTGAGATGATCCAATAAAACAGCACAATCAACCATGACTAAACTTCACTAAAGTCTGAAAGACCCTAAATTGGTTTAGCGAGAAAGCTATTCAGAATGTCCCTTCTGTGAATTGAAACCAGACTTAGGTCCTCAAAGAGTTCATGCATCAAATGAGAAAGCTACTTGGAAAAAAGCACGAATAATTCAGTAAACAGAAGACAATGTTTAAGCCATCCATATGATATTAATATTTCTAAAAACCTTTCGTTAGATTTCTGAGCAACACCTTCCAAAACAAGAGGAAAACAAAAACCTACAGCTCTAAAAATCATGTCACGTCTACCAGCTTTTCTGTGTTTGCAGAGCAGCAATGCTGAGAGTGTTTGGGATGCCTTTTCACCCTTTTTGTCTGTGTGAAATACAGATTCTGCTGACAAAAATGTGCACATGAATATATACTTTGCACCATTGCATTTCAACGGTCCATACCTTTATTTCAGTATTAGAGCATTTGTGGGCTGACTTAAAGAGTGAATGAATATCAATAAATGAAAATCGTATTTAGAAGGTAATTGGACACTGATTTATACAGAGCTGTGCTGGTTTCATATAAAATACAAAACTTCATCAGACACTATCTCATCAGATTAGCACAGACTTATTCACTGCTTTTATTAAATTACCATAAAATTAAGAAATCCTAATGAAATTATTGAGCCAGTTACATTGAGTCAATGGTTAAGATTTTAATTTGTCCACAAGCCAAAACAACAAAATATTTGTAGTAAGAAATGGAAGCTTTGGGGGAATAAATGTTACATTTACTCAACTACAATGCCATGGCCGTAGATATCTAGCATTAAAACATGGAGTGAAATTGCTTAGCATGCTATCGAGTGTTACCTAAGTTGCATGTCTGCACTGGAGGAAGGAGATTCTGTGACTTAGATTTCTTCACATGAATAAGCAGTTACACAAATGTGTGTTGAGACAGACTTAAACATGACATTTGTGCAGAATAGAAAATAGCTTGTATGACTGGAAAAAGCTAGATGAGTTTGAAGGTGCAACATGTGAAGCCTGATTTATACTTCTCCGTCTGCGTCTGTGCGGGCACACACAACACCATTATGCGTCGGCAGAAGGGCTCGCAGAGGGTGACCGAGACATGCCGCAAATTTTAAACATCTGTCAAAAGTGACGGAGACCGCAAGCTTGTGATTGGTCAGGACACTGCTTCCTGCATATATTTGCAGTATTTACAAAATAATGCTGTCAATTTGCCACAACGCCATGGCAATATGATTCAATGGTGTTCTTTTTTATGAAAGATCATGCAATGGCGACATAAATGTTTTTTTTTAATTAATGGTCTTGCATCAACTTTGATGCAGTGCAAAGATGGTCTTAGTGTGTAGAAAAGAAAGAAACCATCAGATTGTACATAAGAATTCCCAGTGCAGCCGAAACAGTCCCAAGGTGCTGTGTGTGCAGCTTTTCATACCTCTGTGACACAGATTTTCAGGATATTAACTTGCTTCTGTAACAAATTGAGTCTCACTTTATCAGTACCGCGGTAAGCTTATCAACGCAATCGTGAGTGTTGCACTTCTGGAATCTGTCTCCTTTTTGCAATGCATATCTCTCGCCCACACATGCGGCGTACTGTACTTCTGAACACATACACTATATGCACTCTGAGCTGAGGTAATGAGCTCCATTGGCAGCTGTTTTGTGATTCGGTGAGGCAAAACTGCCCAAGCATCAATTCCACACAGGGATACCTCCTCTCACTCCTACGGAGCGACCACCATTTGAGGATGTGTGGAACTGGAAGCTATCATAAAGTGTGACATAGCTTAGCCCCGGGACATGCTGAGAGTGAAAATAAGATCCTTTGGAGTTTCTATGTCACACAGGATTATGCAAAATGAGACACACTGAGCTTCATGTGTCATAATGTGTTATTCCTACAGAACTGTCATCCTCTGGACCTATGGGCATTTTCCTTTTTTTATGTTGTTTTTGTTGTTGTTTACAAGTAATTTTTTTCAGTTCGGGTTATAGTGACACAGAGGCTGAAATGTACCTCAGCTACCATTGGACAGAAAGTAGAGGCTACCCTGGACCCAACAAATATAAACACAAAGCAGCCGTTTTACCTTCTTCCTGAAGCATCAGGAAAAGTATCATACTGTACTGTGACAGTCGGTGGCAGATAACATTCCCAAGGGAGTTTCCAAATGTGTGAAAATGTTTGCAAGAGCTCTGTTTTCTTGCATAAGTGGCCTAAGGGCTTTCCTTTCATGTTGATGAGATTTAGAACATTTTCTAGTCATCGTGGGCATCTGGATTGCCTCTGAAAACCTTCCCGATTTGGTAGCAATGATTTAGAAGGTGCAAGAATTTAGGGATGACTTTTGTTGGAGTGTGGCAATCAGTCTATGCTATTTTACTTAATACAGTATCACACCATGAGAAAATTTCAAGAGTTCAAAAAAGGCTTCTGAAACCAAAATCTGACATAAAATAATGGATGTTTTTTTTGGAGTGTTTATAGAGGCACTAGAGATCCACATGTAAACACAACATGATACTAAAGTGCTTTGTCCCCTTTACATCCTACTGTAAATGTATGTATGTGTCCGGTTGGTTGCTTGTTCTTCATAAATTGTGTCTAGAGGTGGTAGAGATGCTGGAAAATGTAAAAAAGTAAAGTCTGGTTCATACAGCACAATAACCATGCAGATTTTTTACCTACTTTTCCCTTTCTAACATTTGCCATATTGACTAAAGATAATCTTATCAGATAATCCTCTTTTAGTTGGTGGATTACGAGCTACTCTGGTCTGTTTGGAAGCACAACAGCACCAGTCCATGCATAAATCCAGGCTTTCAAACATGTTGGATTGTCTGGGTCTGATTTTGAGGGACAAGTGAACATGTTACCTGCTGAATGTGACATGTAGAAAGCTAGGTGACAGAAGCTCGCTATGCTCCTCCACTGGGAATAGTCCAAGAGTCAAATCTATTTGAGTGTACTGGTTAGTTTGACCCAGTTGCTACACAGCCCACACCACACTGTAGGACCAAAACTGCTTTGAAAATCATCTGTCATTTAAGCCTCTTTTAGAAAACAATGCTGCCAATTTGCTGCAACGCTGAGCTGGCATCAGGAAGCCTTAGGGCATTTAAAAGTGGTCAGACTGTGGTGGTTATGTGGCAGAATCGTGTCCGTTTTACAAATGATTACACAATGGCAGTAAAAGGGTGTTATGGAGGCAGTGGTTGCCCTGCCGTGGAATTCTGTTTAACTTGGACATAACTTATCTATGTATGTATTTATGTAGTGTGATCTACACTCATTAAGCTTTTTTTTTTAACAAATCACTCCTAAAGTTGTCTGTCCTCCACAGTCCCTGTGCAGTTTCAGGTGATCTGAGCTCTAAGAGAGAGAAGCTCCTGGAGCTCTGCATTACTCCAGTTTATCGTCTTTGCTGGTTCTGTTTGCAAAAGTGACCGCCTGTGTTTACTTTCATTTTTTTAATAGTTTTCGTCCAGAGCTCGACAGTAACTCCCCACCTGATCATGACACCACCCTCTCTTGCGCCAAGGTGTAATATACGTTCATGAGATAATATTACTGCCAAGCATAGCGGCACAAATTCAGCAAAATTCCCTCATTGCCATGCTGCCACTGCCCGTTCATAAGACACACAGCGGCAGCAATTATATGCTCATTTACCAGCAATGGTGTGTCTTCTAAAAAGGGCTTTAGAAATCCTGCTGTGTGAATAGAAGAAGAAGATTCGAGATGGCGCCAGTGTTGCTGGCTTGCCCTCTGTCAGCTCCTCTACTTTTTGTATTTTTATTGTTATAGCCTATGTTTTACAACCCGCTCACCCGAGAT